TCCCGGAGAACCTTTTCCATTTAAACTCCGTCCCCGCAATGGAGAAGTTTTATCCGTTGGGGGAGAAAGGCTATACCACTTCGCTCTCGACGAGGGGTGGAGGATTTACTTCCTTCTTTCTTCATAAGCCCTCTTTGACATAGCATATAGTAAATGCAGGGTAGGAATCTCTTCGTTTCTAATGAAACGATAAGCTTTATGAAGTTTATTTCGGCAAGTCCTTCCCTTACCTCTTCCCTTTCCTTTATTTTCGGTGAAGTCCTCTCCAACTGAGTACCCTCCTCTTTCTAAATAATAGTTTCCAACTTACTTTGTGTGTAAGGCTCCTGTACCTCTAACAGACATGACAATAAGTAAAAGATCCTGAAAATAACTTCATTGGTTTCTGATTTTTTTTGCGGAGTTTTCTAAGTACAGGAGGGGTGAAGAGAGGAGGGATTAAAAGTGATAAATGTTAGGCGTTACATTGCATCCTCTCAGGTGTCTGTTAGACACATGCACCTGAGAGGATGGAATATAATGCTTAACATTCGTTACTTGTAGTTTTTTCATATCGCAAGAAGCATTTAAAATAGCATTTAATTTATTTATTCTGAATGTAGACTATTTTTTTCCCAGAAATATCTATTTTCATTTCTTTTCATGGTCTGTAAAATCTATATGATAGTAGGCCTAAGACAGGGGTCTTCAAACTCGACAGCTTTAAGACTTGTGGACTTCAACTCCCAGAATTCCTCCTCCAGTCATGTTAGCTCAGGAATTCTGGGAATTGAAGTCCACAAGTCTTAAACTTGCCAAGCTTGAAGACCTTTGGTCTAAGATATGAAGAGGAAAGTGAGTGTCATAGACAGACTTCTTTTACTCTGATGTAATGCAAATATCTGCTTTTACTCAGAACTCTTCATCAGCATTTCCCCAATAGCATATTTTCCAGACAGCTTGAACCAACTTCAATAAACACCAGCTGAACTGCATTTTCTGAGAATTATTGTCTATCATCTGGAGCACACAATTGTTGGTGAGGCATTGATATCCTTGTAAAAATGGAAGTTTTATCTCATTAGATATAATTAGATATAACCCCTTCACAGCTTTTAACATAAACATTGTAGATTTTTGTGTAATCAGTAAGAAGTGATGGTATGAAAGGCTATGCTTACTTTTCACATGTTTAAACTATTAGTGAATGATCATACAGCATTCATCTCTTAGTCATTTAATCTGTGTGTATGTTTAGATAAATGTATCTGCTAAAAACACTTCATGGATTTGATGGCCTTAGTTTAGGGTACTACAAATCTTCATTATTCTCTTATCAATTTAGTTGAAACAAATGCCAGAGACCTGTCCTGGTAAATAATTCCCTGTGCCTTACCCAAACCAGGTTCTTCAAATGAAATATGGGAAGACAACATAGTCCAAAAAAAGATACAGTGATAGCACTGACTTCACAAGTGGATGCAGAATAGGTGGGTTCCATAAAATGTTTCCATCAAAATAGTAGAATATTACATTTCCTTATATTTTGACAGCTACCCAAATGAATTAAAGTCCAAAGATATCTGCAAGGAAACCGGCAACAAGTATTTCACTCATTGACGGGTATTGTAGTTCACTGCATCTGAAGGGCAACAGATTGTGAAAACTTAATAAAGATCTAAGATTGTTTGAAGTCATTGTTCTTGTCAAATCTGGAGGAGATAGATAAATTTTAAACACAAGAATAAGACTAATGCAAACTGAAGCAGACTGAAAAAGAAAAGGAAAAAGGCTAAGGGTGCAAAAAGAAAAAAAGTTACAGAAAAATAGGAAAGAAAAAAATATAAAGAAGTGAGTTCTAATCAAGTATAGCATTTAGAAGTACAATTAGAATTGAACTCTCTCTAAAATTATGTTATCACTCTTCTTTCTATCCTATCTAATCTTCAAAACTATACATCTGAAATCCATTTATATGCAAGTTCTGCCATCTTCACCAGCTATTCATCCATTATAGATATTACTAAATCTTTCCAACTTTGTGCATAGTTGTCTCACTACAGTTATCATATATAAAAATATTCCATAATTTTTTCCAACTATCCACTCTAAAGAAGAAAAGTTCTAATTTCAGTGGAATGTTTTATTTATTTAATTGCATTCTGCCTGTATTATTTTTACAAATTATTCAAGGCATATTCAGCATACCTTTCTCCTGTTTTCCCCACAACAACCCTGTGAGGTTTTAATCTTTAAAATCCTCTGAATTAATCTAATGAATCTGATTTTTAAAGCTTTTTTTCAAGTTCACCTTTTTTGTTGTTCACATTTCCAACACAAATTTAAAGTACTTTTATACATTTTAGATAACTTTTCTGAATCATACTGTATACCTATGGCCCATCATTTTATAAATATTCTCTTTAAGTTTATAACAGCGTAAATCTCATTCCTTTCAACTACATATTTTTCCCATCCTTCCATCTATATACTGTAACAAAAAATTTTAGTTGACTTTATCATAAGTTCCTTAATTCATTCTTCTGTTTCAAATTTCAATAACAGTTTATAAATTTAATGATCACATGCTCATCATTTGTACTCAATTCTGTTTCAAAATCTGTGTTACAATTTCAGTGTCATACATTCTTTTATTTACTTTAATTCTGCTAAATAAAGCCGTTGTCAGCCACGTCCCTGTAATATCAGTAGAGACTTGGACCAAAAACTAGGAGACTTTTTCCCCCCTAATCCTATCTTAAGCATGAAGTCAGCTGGTGACTTTGGGTCAGTCACTTGGTCTGAGCCCAACTCACCTCACAGGATTTTTGTGTTGAAAATACTAAGTATGTTACACACTTAGTATTCATTGCCTTCATTGCTTACAGAATAATACATGCAGGTTAAAAATCTAAAGAATAAATAAATAAAGTATTCCCAACACAAATAAAATGTCAATGTATAAATAGTCAGAGTGATGTATACTTAACTGCACTGCCACTCCTACATAAAAAAATGTGTTTCTCATTTACATTAACATCGAGTGAAAACACACAATTCATGTGCATATATTTGTGAACCATGACTCAATAAATAATACTATTTAATAGATTTTATGTGACAATAAACCATGGTTATCTGATCTTTACAGATGTTCCTGAGAACAGAATACTTTCTGATAAGGAGAAGTATTAAATAAGTGAATATATTGAACAAACATGGACTAATAGTAGCACCAATTAAAGGACAGATTTAGATTTTTTTTACTTCATTAAAAGATAATGTCCTTATTATCTTTATATAGTATGTTCAAAATTTAAGATCCTGTGAAAAAGGCTCAGTGCTTCAGTAATTGGTGGCCTTTCTACAGCCTTTGTTCTATAAGAGCAATGATCAAAACAACAGACCATCAACACACATGGGATGTATCTTTGCTGTATGAGGAAGGGACAAAAAGAAACAATCTATATGAAAATATTAGCTGTCTGAATCAAATAATAAATGAATGCACAATAGCTTTTAAGTTTAACAAACACATTTTACACAAATCAAAATTACATTAACATTCATTTTGCAGAATGACATGGTGCATATATTATATATTTATATAAAATTACTGTTATCTATGGCAACCAGAAAGCAGTACATACCAGTTTAATTATACAAATCAATAAGAATCTATTATCTCCTTCATACCTACTTGAGAAATTCACAGAATTAAACTGGCCATTTAGTATAAATGAGCATCTTCAACTGCAAAATTGTTTTAATATACCATATTTCTTGAAGCTTTATGATTATTTTTGAAACCACTTCATATTTTTATTTGAATATAGCTTTTTGGAAGAGATGATAGTCTACAGTGTGCTATCTTCTGAGATCAGCACCATGCACTGTGATAATACTGAAACTTTAGTCACATGAAGGAAACAAACAATCAATCAAAAATTGTCTGACTCCTTTAGCCAGAAGCCATTCTTTTAAAAGAACATCTGAAAATCAGTTTGGAAAAATTATTTCTTAAATCTTGCTGCTTGCTGCAGTACCTAATGTTCTCTCCATTCAGAAAATGAGGCTTTGCTCTCCTTAGATCACTGAGATGCAAAACTATTCTACAGCTGACCAGCACAATGTGCAAAATAATACTGCAGTGAACCATATTCAGTTGTCTGTTATACCTATAATGAAAAAGCAATATTTGCAGACTAGGCATAATCCTTCCAAATAGCTTACTTTATTCATACTGATAGTTATATGCTTTCATTCTTCAGTCATTCCAAGCAGAACTGTGTGAAGTTCAGTAATGCATAGTAAACAGCAAATGTTCAGCTTGTTGCTCTCTTATTTGTTGATTATATGTTTTCTCCCTATTTGACATTTCAGCCATTATTACTTATAGATACCATGTTTAACTAAGAGTTGCATTTCTAAAACAGGTCTATCTAATGGGGGCATGATTCAGTGCTACCTATTTTATTTCTATTCTATTCCTATTTCCTAAAATAATTGGAGATGTCTACTTAAGCAATTGCTATAACTGGCTTCTTAAAGAGAACAGCAGACTTTTCAAGATGCAGGTTATTTTGACAAGTGAAATTGAAAGATGCTATTGCTTGTCAATTCAGTAATAGATGTTTTAAAAGACATCAGAAAGATATAATGTACATTATAAACAACTCTTTTCCTTTTTTAAAAATATGAACAATCAAAGGAATTAGATAAACAGCACAAGAGGCTCAAACAATGTAACATTCGTGTATAAAAATATCCAAATAGCCACACATTTAATACACATATCATGTCAAGCTATGGTTTCACCATTCTTTGCTAAATAAGTCATATAACTGAGTTTGCACATGCTAAATGATAAGCCAGGGCCTATTTATCACAATGGCTTAGCAATCATGTGGCTGAATCTTTTTACTATTTTGCTGAATCCAGCCATAGCTTTCTCCTGTGCTTAATAGCAAACTCAGAAAAACTCAACAGATATGAAATGTCACAAATCAGGTTCTTTTTTGGGGGGGCGGGGGGATGCTTTGTGACATATACAAATTATTCCATAGCCACTAAACAAACCAGAAGAGACTGAGTTTTTGGTGCTTCTGTGCTGACTCTGTGTATGCAGTATATGTATGCAGTATAATTATAGCTCACAGGCCAGAAATGGTTTGGAAATGTCAACTTTAATCAGAAAGTGTAATTAATATGGATCATAGTCCTTTCCATTAAAAAAAAACACTCAGCAACTGTTGAAATACAATAGATAACAATATCCAAAACATGCTTTTGCCTCTTCAAGTGAGAAACTTAAGGAGCTCAGTGAGGCTGCTGCCCATCACAGATGTCCTGATTTGTCTCAAAAAAAACTTAAGAATTGCCATCAGAAAGTAATAATTCATGTTTCTTTGGTTTCTTATTTAAAGAAATAGTTTATTTCTTTATAAACTATTATAAACTAGAAATAGTCTATAAGCATGTATTGTAATAGGAACTCTAATAATTGACTTTCCATTTATCATTATATTAGCACCATATCCTAGAATTCAGAATAGTTTCATATCTGCAGTAGGTTGTGAAGTCCCAGTATCTTGTATGCTTGATTCGTGATGTGAATCTTTACTTCCATTTATTTTTTCCTCCCTCTTTTCTTTATAAGTGTTTTCCATGTCGGTAGCATTACAGTTCTGTGGTTTTCTTTTTGTATCTTCTGCGGTATCAGTATCTGCATTCTTCTCTTTCTCATTGTTCACGGTCTTACTTGGCCTTTCCTCTGAAAGATTCTGCTGTGTCTTGTCTTCCTGGCTCTCTTTGAATTTTGTAACTTTTTCTGTATCCCCTTCTTTCTCTTTGTTTTCTGATCTACTAGATTGTAGATCTGATGGGGATTTTTCATCAGAAGCTACTTGATTTTGTTTCTTCTGATAGTCTATGCCACCCACAGGGTCAGATGAGAATTTCATGCATTTATTGTCTATAAATACATCTACTTCCTCCTTCTCCTCAGTTTTGGAACCATTTTCCTGAGGTAAAACTGTCCCTCCTAAATCTAGGTCATCTCCATATTCTGACTGTGATTTTCGAAACCTTCTAGATGGAGGTCTGCGCTTTATTGATCCTCGTGTCCTTACCTGAAAGTGGATAAAGCTGTGATTGAAATAAGAACATGATCCAGACCAGACATCACTAAAAACAACCAACTGAACTGCATTTATTCCTCTATTACTTATTCATCATAAGATTAATTTTTGGCATTACCATTTCTTTCACATCAAAGAACATATGATTGTTCCTTAGCAAAAAGTGAAGTAGTATTCTAATATTTTTTCAGTGCCAACTAGCATGTTACAATTACTTTGGTCAATGTTTTTGTGGATAAGAAATATGATCCTCTGGTCTCTTCTAATGTGAAGATCACCATCTTTATGATGATGATAATAACCGTGGTTATTTAAAATCTGCCAGATTTTTAAATTTAGTCTATTTTTAAAACAAACATTGGGCAGAAGCTCCAGGATTTTCTTTATTTGTTCACCAAAACAATGATTTTGAGTGAAAGAGTAGAAACAGTAAATGAATATGGTATTGCTGATAAAAGGAGAAAAGGATGTGACCCAAAGGCCAATACTTTATGAGTTGATATTTCTTTAAGAAATCAATAACTTCAGACCTTCTCTCCTTTTCTTAAACCTTATCTTATTTTGTTCCATCCATGCAGTTGATATTGTCATGAATCTAGAGATTTGGTTACTTTGCCCAAGCTGGAGTTTAAATAGATAGATCACTGCAGGATCACTCTTCAGCGTAAGCATGCATAAAGGAGCAGATAGATTAAAATCCAATATCAGTTTCAGGTAGTCAAAAGGCAGGCCATAGAAGAGTCATTTAGAGATGCTCAAGAATAGAGGAATTTAAGTAGGACTATCAAGTATGGGGGGCTTGTGAGCGTAGGGAGTCACCAAAGTCAAAATTAGATCATCTGAAAGGAACCCCAAGGAAAGCTGGATGGCTAGCAATGGGAGCTGGGAAACAAAGTGAACAAAAGAAGAAAGAAAAATATGTTAGTGTTGTAAGTATATATACACTGCTCAAAAAAATAAAGGGAACACTTAAAGAACACAATGTAACTCCAAGTCAGTCACACTTCTGTGAAATCAAACTGTCCACTTAGGTAGCAACACTAATTGACAATCAATTTCACATGCTGTTGTGCAAATGGAACAAATAGACAATAGGTGGAAAGCAGAGGCAGTTAGCAAAATACCCCCAATAAAGAAGTGGTTCTGCAGCTGGTGACCACAGACCACTTCTCAATTCCTATGCTTTCTGGCTGATGGTTTGGTCACTTTTCAATGCTGGTGGTGCTTTCACTCTAGTGGCTCAGGTAGTGCAGCTCATCCAGGATGGCACATCAATGCGAGCTGTGGCAAGAAGGTTTGCTGTGTCTGTCAGCATAGTGTCCAGAGCATTGAGGCACTACCGGGAGACAGGCCAGTATATCAGGAGACGTAGAGGAGGCTGTAGGAGGGCAACAACCCAGCATCAAAGGACCACTACCTCCTCCTTTGTACAAGGAGGGACAGGAGGAGCACTGCCAGAGCACTGCAAAATGACCTCCAGCGGGTCACAAATGTGCATGTGACTGCTCAAACAGTCAGAAACAGACTCCATGAGGGTAGTATGAGGGCCCGACATCCACAGGTGGGGGTTGTGCTTACAGCCCAACACCATGCAGGACGTTTTGGCATTTGCCAGAGAACACCAAGATTGGCAAATTCACCACTGGTGCCCTGTGCTCTTCACAGATGAAAGCAGGTTCACACTGACCACATGTGATAGACGTGACAGGGTCTGGAGACACTGTGGAGAACGTTCTGCTGCCTGCAACATCCTCCAGCATGACCGGTTTGGCAGTGGGTCAGTAATAGTGTGGGGTAGCATTTCTTTAGGGGGTCACACAGCCCTCCATGTGCTCACCAGAGGTAGCCTGACTGTCATTAGGTACCGAGATGAGATCCTCAGACCCTTTGTGAGACCATATGCTGGTGCGATTGGCCCTGGGTTCCTTCTAATGCAAGACAATGCTGGACCTCATGTGGCTGGAGTGTGTCATCAGTTCCTGCAGGACGAAGGCATTGGCACTATGGACTGGCCCGCCTGTTCCCCAGACCTGAATCCAATTGAGCACATCCGGTACATCATGTCTCGCTCCATCCACCAACGCCACGTTGCACCACAGACTGTCTAGGAGTTGGGGGATGCTTTAGACCAGGTGTGGGAGGAGATCCCTCAGGAGACCATCCGCCACCTCATCAGGAGCATGCCCAGACATTGTAGGGAGGTCATACAGGCACGTGAAGGCCACACAGACTACTGAGCCTCATTTTGACTTGTTTTAAGGACATTACATCAAAATTGGATCAGCCTGTAGTGGTTTTTTCCACTTTAATTTTGAGTGTAACTCCAAATCCAGACCTCCATGGGTTGCTAAATTTGATTTCCATTGATAATTTTTGTGTGATTTTGTTGTCAGCACATTGAATTATGTAATGAACAAAATATTTAATAAGAATATTTCATTCATTCAGATCTAGGATGTCTTATTTTTGTGTTCCCTTTATTTTTTTGAGCAGTTTATATTGATTCATGTAATGATAGCAAGTTAAAGGAAGTGGTACATTTAAAGAAATGTCAGTCTCACAATCATGTGTACATTAAGCTATATGGAAATTCCACATATTCAAATCTGAGGAATGTTGTTCTATATGGCTGTCATTTGCCTAACAATAAAAAAATGATATTCTAACATTTCCTCCTCTTAAAAAGATTTTCAGGACAGAATTCAGGAAGCTATTTTATACTAAGAACATCACATGTACTTCAAGAATATTTTTTTTAAATCAAAACTATGCAATGTACAGTACTGTTGTAAAATTCAACAAATAAAATTAATATTCCAATCAAATGATCTTGAAATTTTTCTTTAAAAATAATCACTCATTTACTTCAATTAGTTAACTGTTACTTGATTAAAATTCTTTGTGATCTGTTTGAAAACTGCTATAGCTGTTCATTGACTCATTTTACTTCATCTTCATGTTCTGATGGTATTACATTTTGAGAGATCTCCTTCCCCACTGACTTCTTTCTTTCCTTTTCATCTTTAAATTGTCAGTATTATATCTTACCTTATTATAAAACTGAAGATGAGTACCTTCTGGTGGTTGATCAAAACTAACTGGAGATTCATCAGGAATACTTGAATGAGTCTTTGGGCTGAGAGGGGTGACTGGTGGACTATTAAAGGGAGACACCATTGCCTTTAGTCCAGGGCTTTTAGGAGAAGCTCCTGGCAGCATAGAAGTTGGAGCAAGTGCCAAATTAGCCTGTTAAAAAAAAAGAATGAATCATAAATAAGTATTTTCACTTTCTTCCCAATATTTGAAATCTTGCCTTAATATTATTTGATCTATTGCTGAAGTCAATTAGTTTATAGAGCACACTTAATATTAGAGAAACAGAGAGATTCCTAAATACTTAATAAGGATATCTGCCAAGGAATGACATACTGTACTGCATATGTTTTTTTTTCTGGAAGAATTGTAGCACCTTTGCCAGCATCCATTAAGAATAAAGTGACATTCAGGGGTGAACATGGAACTTCGAAACTGCTATCAACTTTATTTTGTGGGGTGGGATTAATCATGTTTATGTTCTGAATAAAATAAGCAATTTTTAAAAAAAGGCAAAAATGTTTCAGCAATGGCTCTATAGAAAATATAAAATAGTATCCAGCTCTGTGGAAGAAAAAAATAGGAAAGCGGGGAAGTGGGAGAAAAAAGATGTAGTCTATGGAGTTGAGATATTATTGATCTATTCATCTCTGAACTGCCAAGGAATTATTGGAGACCCTCTATAGTTCCCTATTAAAGGATAGGAAATAATTGGAGGTGAAGAATGACTCAAGGGTATTGTCAGATGTTTCATTATGGAAGAACAACCCACTCCTAATAAATAAAATGACATACACAAAAACTAAAGAAAACATAAACCAAGATTCTGAGAAGATGTTCTATTAACAGTCAAGAATACTGGATGTAAGACTATTCAAAACATTCTAAAGAGAAGCTTCCAAAAGTACATATACATAGCACCTATATTGTCCCATATCCAAACAACAGAGAATAGCTTTCAAAGCAGCTGTGCGAGCCTTACAAAAAAAAAAAAAGCAATTTCACAATGTCCTCTTTTGAATGCAGGCCTAAGTGGAACTTAGAGTGGAGGCAGCAGCTTGAGGATGAGAGAAGTAATTGAGCGAAGAAGTCTGAAAGGGAAAGAGCCCCTTCTCATCAATAGTTCACATGACATGGCAATCTGATGTAATATTGTGATGGATTCCTTCTGTATAGATAATTGACCAAATACAGTTGTGAGGTTGTATACAATCCACACAAGAGGACAGTAACTTTCCTTCATCCCCAAATTAATAACAAATTATGATGAGAGAACCCTCAGCATTTTTGGAACAGAAATGGGAAGCACTTGTACATGGGCAGCATTACCAAGAAGCCTCCTGGAATATAGGACAATAGCAGATAAAGAGGCCAGAGAAATGAAGAACATGACACAATTCCATAATAATAAATTGCAATTCCATAATCTTTGTCCTTGTTCATATTGTTGGAGAAACAGCAACAGCTAAACCTCAGGGACGGAGAAAGAAGACAATATTGCCTGCCCAAGAGGAAGGATTCCCGCCTCTGTCCTGAAGAATGGGAAGTAGGTGGGGAGATGATTGGAGACTCTTTGCTGAGAAGGCTCAATCTGTTGGCTGAATAATGCACTCAGAAAAACATGCTGCCTTCCTAGGGCACACATTTAGGATGTGATGAAAAGCTTTCAAAGACTGAACACCTGTTGACACATTCTCTTTTGTTGAATCACATGGGAACAAATTACACAGTTAAACAGGCAATGGAGGGGCAGCAAAGGATTATGAAGAGTTGGACATGAAAGTGAAAGAGATGGTATTTTTTCACTCCTTCCTATTGAAGGATATGACTTGGGAAGACAGAAGAATACTGGAATGAACAACTAACAACACAGATGGTCCAATAGGAACTATTTGAATTACAAGAGAATGGGTTGTATTTACAAAATAAACAATTTCTGCAAAAGGTAGGATGTATCTCACAAGAATTGAGAAAATTGTTTTTAGAAGGTGCCATGCAAAGCAGATTCAGAGGGCTTTAAACTGAGCCCCTCGGAGGAAGCAAAAGAAAACTAAAGATAGTGCAACCTCTAGCCCTGGAAATTCAACTGCAAGGAGTATGTGAGACACAGAGGCATCTGATATATTAGGTGTGGTTAGATTAAGTAAGCTTTCCAGTTGTTTCTATGCAATTGCAGAGTATGGAGAACAATTTGTTGTGTTAATTAAACAATCATGTGTTGATTTTATCTGGGCTGCTGTACATATTATTTATTTATTATAATATTTTTATCTTGCTTTTAATAATTGTTAGTCACCAGAGTCATGCATTTGAGATAGGCAATTTATGAGAAGGAAGGAAGAGAGGATGGTTTCTGGCAGGATAGAATGCATGAGTGAAATACAAAGGTTAACAAATAGAATGTTATTTACTATAATATGCCAGATGAAGGATTGACATTATATGTGAAGAAAGTACACACATGTATTAACATCAAATTATTGTTGAGTCTTAGCAACTACATGTTCTCAGGATGATCTATCTATCCTTAGTCTGGTCTTTTAGGTTTTACAGGAGAGTTAGGAACTTCTAAAAAGTAATGTACTGGATATACAGTTACCACCATTCTAAAGTGAGAAAAAAAGTAGGGGATGGTTTAGGAAATAATTGTGAATACATGGTGAATTTTGACAGAGCTGAGAGTTAAAAGGAATGTTTACAATATGGCAACGGAGACATGATAGCTAAATAGGCTACCAGTAAACAGTAATTATTTGTGTAAAGAAAGTCAGAAAGGAACTTAGATTTGCAAGGGATGCTAAAAGATTAATTTTCCAAGAAAAAGGAAGAAGGGGAAGGGCTACTGCTTGGGGAAATAGGATAGTAACAAACTTTGGAAAGAGGTAGAACTTGACATTTCTGACTTTACTTCAATTTTCTGTGCAAAGGAGAACTATGTTTAAATGGATCTAAATGGGACAAGTGGAAGATATCATGTCTAAATATGGCAGTGAAAATAAATGTTTTATTATTTATTGCACATGATAATGCTTTATTGATGCTCCTAATAAACTTGTCCTCATTCACAATCCAAATCAGAATGAATTTTTGGATGCTGTTAAGTTAGAAATACCTTTCAATATCTTGTTAATTTTTTTCATATATGATTTCTAGGATGGCCTATTAACAGGCTTTTGGAAATCATTGCTGTTGTAATATTATAATCACAAGAGGGAGCTCTTGTGCTTAAAATATCTGTTTTCACCAACCAATGTATCTAATAGTGACAATGTCAACAAATAATTTGGGGAAGAGCAGTGGTGTAGAATAGCTGCCTTTCCAAAACATCTGAATGTAGACACTATTCTTGTATGTTGGCTCAAGCCTCATAGATTTTCTAGCATCTCAGCCAAGAAAATATATCAGCAGTGGCTTAGCATCAAAGAAAGGGGGAACATGGCCATAATATCAACAGATTTAATTCTTTATATTCAAGATTGTCTTAAATTCACTATTTCAAGTATTGTGAGACAGTCCTAATATAAATTGTGACAGCATAGCATAACAGTGTTGGAGGGGACTTTGGAGGTCATCTATTCCAACCCCCTGCTCAAGCAGGAGACCTATACTAATTCTGACAAATTTCCAGTCACTTCTTAAAAGCCTCCAATGATGGCGCACCCACAACTTCCGAAGGCAATTTGTCCACTGGTTGATTGTTTTCACTGTTAGGAGTTTTAGTTTGTTTCTGTCCTTGATTCATTTTCATCAAATAATTGTTTCCAATTCCAACCAATCCAATTATTGGATGGAAACTTGATAAGCTTCTCTCAGCATACAGCTGAACAAATGCAGAGAGAATATGCAATCTTTTCTCACTTTTCCACTAACTTGGAGTTAGTCTGTCTCACCATGTTGGATATGGGCATTTGTATAATTTCAGTATACTCCTTCCATCTTCACCGGTATCCTTTAAAAATCAATTTGAAGTTGAACTACATTTTTCCTTCTTACATTTCCATAAAACCAGGGGTGGGATTCTACTAGTTCAGACCAGTTCTATAGAACCAGTTGTTATGATTCTGCGCAGTTCGGAGAACTGGAAAATCATGCCCCTGGCTGGCCCTGCCTCAATGGTTGGAATTAAATCTGAATAAAAATCTTATTAAAGAGCTGTCCAGGAAGTCTAATTGATATTATTCTGTATTTGACTATATTGAATCAGTGGATTTTTTTTTGTCGTGAGTAATAGTCAGCATTATGATATTCTGAAATTACATTCCACTTCAATTTGCTGATGCCTAAGATGTCCATGTGTAGTCAATGTATTTCATTTTCACTATGTTGAGCATTCCTATGTTCATGCTTCTTACACTCCGTATTGTCACTATAGTTTTGTCTTTACAGCTTTGAGGTTTTTTTTCCTGCATGACATCAACAACTAGAAGTTCCAAACATTTTAACTATTAATGCTTTAAAAACATTAGGAAAGGAGCAGTGATGCAATCAGATCTTACCTGCATTTTTTCAATGAGAGGAGAACTTTTGGGCTTTATCCTTATAGGACGAGAAGCATTTGGGGATGGTTTCTGTAAAAAGAGAAATAAGAAACAGAGTTGCATGAAACAGCCACCTTTTGTTACTTTCCAAAAATCTTTGGTGTTTAGTTGATTCATTTTTAATTATTAAATTTTCTTTATTATTAAGTATAAAAAGTCTCTAAGAAAATATTGCTATCAATACAAGGATCCTTGAGGAACCTTCCTTGGGAAGGATTGTATTCCACAAAAGAAAAATATGTATATATTAGATATAAATGTAATCATAATAAATGATACAACAGATGGTATTAAGATTGTAGGGTCTTATCAGGACCAGTACTGTCATATTCTTACTAGACATTTGACCTCATAATAGAGATCAACTGAAGGGATTCAGATATTAGAGAACTAACCAACCTAAAAGGTTAGTTCCTATTGCCACCATTGCTTGGCTCCAATTTTTATTGACTTCTTATCTGGGATGAAATGAGGTCTTGGAAGAGATTGATGGTGAAGGCCCTTTTGGGTGTGGGATTCTTATGCATTCTTGTACTTTTACTGCATTGTCCTTGCTTTTTCATTATAAACCCTTGAATTGGTGGTTGAAATTGATAAAATAAATAAATGGTAATGCAGAGCTTATTCCCTGGCTATAACTTCTAAAGCAATAGCTAAATGTTACTAGTGCTGCCATTGTGGACAGGTGTGATATTATTCAGATGGCAGGGTCACTGAATAGAAATATACTATTTAAATCATAACAGCCTTCTGCAATTACAGCATTCTTCAGATGTCTAGATTGCAACATCTATGTTTCTCAGCATTGGCCATGGGGGACTTATGGATTCTGGAAATACACACATTTGGAGAGTATCTAGATTGGTTCTGAGCCATCACTAACACTGTTGCCACAGATTGATATACCCATCATTTAATACAATGTGATGGAGTAACTGAAGTAATCTAGCAGAAACTAGATTACTCTTCCAGCAGAATTAATGGAAAGTAAATGTAAAGAAAGGGCTAAACAAGGAGTCACTAAGAGACTAGATATTGTTAAAAATAAATGTGATATGATTTGAGATTATTTGAAATGAAGAAATGTTGTAAGGAATATTTTATATGTTTGTATATCAAAAAGTGAAATTAAAGTGGGTAGTATAATTGTTTCCATCTAATAAAAAATGAATGGAAAGCAAGTAATAGATGCAGCGAGATTACTGAAAATGATAAGATGTAAATGATGCAAGTGGAGAATGATAAAATATTTAAGGTTACTATGGCTATGTGACTTTCTAATCTAAATATACTGTATGTGTGTAGACTGTATCTGCACATGGCAATTGGAAGACTATTATTAATCCCAAATAGGAAATGTATGAAGAGAGAATGCAAAACTATAATGAGTATATATTGTATATATGGAATAAGAAGCACATATAGGAAACGTTAACTAGTTAACTCTAATACAGTTAATTAGAAAAACTCTTGACAAATTTATATCTCTTTACGAAATATATGCCTCCTTCTTGCTTTTCCCCAGACTACAGGAAAAAGGCTGTTTCGAGAGGAATTATCAGAGGAAAAGAGAGAGAATGTGGTATCAGAAAGAGGAAAAACAGGTGACACTGCTTATTTTGGTCAATAAGCCCTACCCTCTATTTGCTTCAACTCCTACTCTCATCCACAAAGAAATTATCTATTTCATGGGAATTCAGTGCTTTTGTTTTGACTATCCTACTATCAAAAACCTTACTCTCATGATTCAATGTTAGTAAAAACAAATTATATCTATGTGCTCATACCTGCTTTGTTTGGAAGATGTAAGCTATATTTTGGATATATTTGCTTTTGGATTTTACATCGATGTTGATCTTCAACTAGAAACATGTAAAATTATCTAAAGAGGTTGATGTTTGGTTTACTAGTAACCATATATATGATCATTCTGATAATCATATATGGCAAATGAATAGCGATGCCTGCTTCTGTCTACATGGATTATGAATCTGCTGGAAGCCCAACTCTTCTTGGAACGTGACAACCAATAGGATGGTTTCTTTTAGAAACATGCAAGCATATTTACACAACATAGTTTCAGCTGTTTCACATCGGGAGGTAAGCAAGAACTCTGTAGTTATAGAGCTTGGTTAGATGGAATCATGTTCCATGATGTAAAGAAATCACTACCATGTGCCACTCCTCTAGAGCAATTGCAGCATTTCAGTTTTAGAGTTCTTGTTAATATCTTCTAAAAGAAGTACAATTCAGTTTGTTTAAAATATTGATACTTACTAGCTCACCATTCTGCCCCAGCTCCATCTTATTTGTGTGGAGGGGAAGAGAGCAAGGTGGCTTTCTGCGTGCTGGTTTAGGAGCCGGGACCTAAAAATAGAGGAAAACTTATGAAAAACAAAGAGAAAAGAGGTAGACGTGAAAAGTACATGTGTAACATTGGTTCTTTAAGGAATGCTCAAATCTGAGTATATACACGAAGTTGATGGGATGCCCCAATGTGCAAATTTAACTTCCCTTTGTAGTTACATTATCCCTACCTCCTTTCCAGAAATCGATGACTGCTCTTGAAATTTTCCTGCTAGTTGGGCCACAGATGGAGTTGTGGGCTTTTCCACCACCATCTTGGTCTCTAACAGTTTGTCCTGAAAGAAAACCAGAAATAAAATGTTTCTCAGTATAAGAAATAGAGAGGGAAAAAGTTGATAAAGCTAAAACTTTTATTGTTAAAACAAAAACCTTAGTGCTATGTAGCATTTATCTTGATGGCCAAATTATCTCAAGTTTTGTTTTACTACATGAACATTTTAAGAAATAATATATTCAAATCTTTTCCTATTTTAAGGAATAATAAATGGTGGTAGGCAATTCTTTCTAATACCTTGTATGAATGCAACCAGCATGAATATTGGATTAAATGTCATTTTTTTAACCTGACAACTCTTTCCCCAAATTTACTTATTAACTCATTCCATTACTGTTAGAGTAAATTTCATTGGCAAGATAACAGCATTGTTGTTGCCGTTGATATTATTTTTAGAGGAAATATGGATTTATTTGAAAATAGATGCTGGAAAAATAAACAAAGAAGACACTTTGGAGTGTATTTGGACTGGTGAGCCATTTAGCTGAGTTGAATACTGATAGATGGAAAGAGGCTTAGGTTTAAAAAGAGGAAGAAGTTGAGAAAAAGAAATAAGTGGCTGGGAGATCATTATGGAAAGGACTCATTCAGCTAATGGATGTTAATAGAAGGAGGTATAGCTGCTATCACATACAGGATTAAAAAGGCAAAAACCTGTGAAGTAGTCAGAGTTATAAAGTTTGTGAATAACAGAAGAGTTGTTATTGGAACAGAAGCTTTTTAGTTCTGCAGATACAGTATACCATATATTGTTCAGGATGGGGTTCACTTTTCCTGAAAGAACCATTGACAATGCTTTCTCCAAATAAAATCTTCCTGTTCCACATTGTCTAGTCAGGACAAAATGCTGTTGGTTGGGGTCTGGAACACAACCTTCTTAATGTGGGCTACTCCTTCTGGAATATCTCTTGAAGTCAGAATAGCCCTCCTATTTTAGGAGAATGTAAAAAAAAAAAGTTGTAAGCCTCTTCTTCAGAGCTTTTGGAAAAGATCTTTAGTTGGAGAAAAACTATGGGCATATTTTTATTTAATATATAGTGTGTATATATAGTGCTTTAATATGTTAATATTAGCCTGAGAAGTAGGTGGGGAAGCGATATAATTTGATGATTTCAAAGCAAAGTCAGATTATGTAAAGGAAAGGTACAAGTATGCTAGTTAAATCCACAATTCTCTCCATGGTATCCCATAACTCTAGTCATGCTACAGGGGTGGGATTCAATTTATTTTACTATCGGTTCTGTGGCTGTGGCTTGGAGGGTGTGGCAGGGGAAGGATACTGTAAAATCTCCAGTCAGAGGTGGTATTTGCGGTTCTCCGAAATACTCAAAATTTCCACTACAGGTTCTCCAGAACTGGTCAGAACCTGCTGAATACCACCTCTGTCATGCTAGCAATCTCGTGGTCTTCTTTGATCAGTAGACCAAAAAATAAAGTTATCAGAATAGCAGGATACCACACATTTAAATAGTGTTTAAATTGTTTTGTAGGGTAAATTAATTATGTGCAGGAAACAACAGGCAAGCTGCAGTATAACTGAATAATTTTGGTTTGTGGCCACTAGAATAAGGAGCCACGTTGAGGCAATTTTTTTTATTACAAAATATATTTCTTCACTTATTTCTCCATTTTTGACTACAAAATGTATTACTTCACTTATTTCGCCTTACACAGTAACGCTGTATAGATAAAGTTGATTTCTGAGTATGATAATTCTGCATGCTGAAATAAATATAAGGACACTCAGTGTGCACAGAAACTCTACATAGAGACATGCAGTGTTCTACCCAAGGAGTATTAGGTGTAACAATAGCTCTCATGTGGTCATGAGAATGGGCTGGATGCTGTGAGAAATAAAGTAGTTATATTTATTTATTTTCAAGGATATCAGGCTGTCAATATAATTTGAAAGCAATATACAAATAAGACTGAAAATAGAATTTGATTTCTTTCATTATATAACAGTATCTTCTATGGGTACAATGGAGTAATTATAATGAATTGCTGAGTATTCTACACCAATTGTAAGGTTGTATTGATTTGAAATAAAACTTAAGTGGATGTATTTTGGGTACAGACTTAAGAGTTAGCTATATAGCTTAAGCTATATCCAGACAATTCACAAAAATATTTGTTGTATGTTTTGCAAACCAAGAATGATATTTATGGAAGTTAGTCATCTTATTTAGAGGTATTTTAATATATTATGGTAGTTTCTTTCATTTTGTAGATTATTGTGTGTGTGTATTTCAAAAGGTTAGAGCAACTATATATTTTTGTTGTAAATTGTTTTGAAAGTTTTATATGTTACTTGGTATCTCTTTTAAAATATCTTAGCAACTATACTATTTTCTCAATTTATAAGTAAAGGCATCTTTTTGGTTAGCGAAAGGAGAACTCCAGTAGTTCTGAGCATTCCAAGGGCTGCCACAACATTGCAGAAAATATATAGTGCATTAAATTCCCCTCTTGCATTGTTCATGACAGGTTTCTATGATAGTTGCCATGATAACTGTGCAACTCATCACTGCCTCATTTTACCATGGTTCTAGAAAGGACACTAGGAGTCACAACTATTGAACATGTGCTTCATTTGAAGACCTGTCCATTCCAAGTCCAGTTGAGAGAGAAATGTTAAAGAGGATTTGAATTGCACAGCAACTCTTTATGTCCAGAAGACAGACTGAACATGGCCTCTTGATGTAATTTCCCACTATGGTGAGATGTATCTAAATTACAGCAAATATTTCTAAACCCGTACATGTGTAGTTTGAATGTTATGCAACTCTGTGCAATTTTGTTCTTTCTGGCAATCTATGTCTCTTTTCTGGAATGATGCTTAAGCAGCTAACTTAAGAACCCTACAGAATAGGTTTGAATTATCATGATTGTATTATAATGCCTAATATTAGAGATGAACAAACAACTGCTTACCCTCTGCTGTAGCAATAAGTAGCCTCATACTATAAGTCCACCAGTGGGGGGATTCAAATTTTTTTACTACCGGTTCTGTGGGTATGTTTGGTGGACGTAGCTTAGTGGGTGTGTCAGGGGAAGGATACTGTAAAATTTCCCTTCCCTTCCCACCCCACTAACCTGCTTTCCAGCTCCGTTCAATTGTGCAGGGCAACAAAAGAATACCCAGCTGAACAGCTGGGACTCGGGAGGCAGAGTATAGATGGGGGCAGGGCCAGTCAGAGATGGTATTTGCTGGTTCTCCAAGCTACTCAAAATTTCTGCTACCAGTTCTCCAGAATTGGTCAGAACCTGCTGAATACCATCTCTGAAGTCCACCCATGCTGATAATCATAGTAAAGGTTCTTTCACTTAATTTACAACAACAACAATTACTACTATTACAGAAGAAATGGTTCATTCAGTTGCATCTGTGATTTCAGGCAGGAGATACTCTTAATTAACTTGAAATTAACTTGTTCTTATGATAGACAAAGACTTTGCCTTTATTAGAACTAAACTTTTAGTGATCCTTTAGGGTTACTACTATCTGTCTAAAATAAGTTAAGATATTTTATCGAAAGTGAAGGAATAGAAAAAAGAACAAGTTGTCATTGTTCTCAAATATCTGATTTCAGTTTAAAGAAGAAAGTGCAAATAAAGTTGATGGAATATCAAGGAATCAGTCCTGCGCAGAAGGAAGACGGTGAATTATCAGAGCCTTTATTCGGACTGTTTTTTTCTTCACAAGTTGAAGTATGGAGTCAAACACAGCAGAAATTACTCAGGAAGTGGGTGTGTGAAGCTTGTTTTGGCCTGTTGATTATTTCCATAGAAGGAAATTCCACAATGTCTGTTCTGATTGAAAGCATGGGAGCAAGCTAGGCCCCTTGCTCAAGAAACAAAACATGCTAAGAGATAAGTAAACAAATGGCTGCAGTTCTAAGTACACTAATCTCCTTTTTCCAATGAGCAACTTTTTTTCCCAACTTGCTTTATTTTCCCTCTTGCTCTGCTATATTATGGTGCTGGGCAGTCTACTAAAATCTGCAGAATTACATCTACTAAAAAGCCTTCCACTGATTTTAAGAAGTAGCTGTAAATATCTGAAGTTTAAAAAGCAGCAAGCTTTCTTTGTGTTTCCCTATAGTTCTCTCTTGAAGAGGTGAAATAAGAAACAGTATGGACCCCATTTACCTTAATTGTAACAACATACAGATTCCTGCTTTTAAAGCTGGTAATAGTTGTCACCTAAAGGTTTGTATTTTTTTATTATCTATAAATTGACAATGTTTAGGTTAAAACCAATCTTGATTCAGTGAATAGAAAGGCAATTATGCGACAGGGATCAATGCCTTCTTAGAATGACTGAGAGTGTACTTAAGCAAGTTTCTTCTTGCTAAAGGACAATTGGGGCTTAATAGGAACATAATCAATCCCTATTCAAGAATTCATTTGCCTGGGATGAATGAAATTCAATATGGCAGCTCTTTTTTAGAGAAAATTTTCTTTCAAAATTATATTAATATTAAACATGAGATTTTAGGAATTCATACATCAAATTTTCTTTCCAAGAACTGTGTAGGATTGTTGCTTTCAATTTTTGAAGAAACAAGATGCAATAGCCAAACTGGGAAAATGAAAACTACTATTTTATTATGGCCATAAATTGATGGTGATTTTCTACCTGAAAGAAAAGCAGAGTGATGTGAGAGACAAAATTTGCTCTGGCAACAAACAAAGCAAATGCAAGACTGCCTTGCACAGCTTCTCTCAAACAATTTACAGGAAACATCTGTGAACTGCAGGAAGCCACAAAGATAAAAACAATTGACCACTTTTTCAGTTGAACACCAACAATCTATACCAATTGAATAGTTAACAATATTTCTTGTCCAAAAAAAGCTTTCCATTTAATTTCTTCTCTCCTTGGTTCTGTGACCTCTTTGCCTGACTGGATAGAATAGCATTACACTGTGTCAAGAGTTCCTGTGACAACTACAAATTCATAAATAGAACTTGGCCAGAGAAATGTCCAGTCGCGGT